TGTTTTTCTCACTGTCTTTTTTGGTGGTTTAGCATCTTGTCATAATTTTGTGTGTCTTTTTGGTCACTTTGTAACCCACATAGAGACAGGAAGTCACCAAAATTATGACACAAAACTAACACAAAAACACACATATTAACCAAAATTAGACACAAAATTGCCACAAAAACACAACAAGTAGATGCAATATTGTTAGAAGGAAACACAAAACCACTACAACGAGACACAAACTGGCCAAAATTGGATCAAACTGGTGGGTGGGTGTGCAGACGAGCAGCCAAATCCACTTATTTTTCTCTTATTTTCATTCGTCTGCGGCTCCCATCTGCTCTTTCGGAGTTTAAAAATGCTTCCTGAAGACAAACCCTGACACAGTTATCGTCCTGTCCACTCCTCACATCACACCGTGATCATATTCCTCAAGTTATTCATGTTTTCATCTTGTCCAGAGCAGATTATCAGAACAGCGAAGCCTCTTTAAATAGAGCGCTGCAGCCAAACAAGAGGAATTAGTTTCAGTGGCTTCCAGCTGCATTAAAACTCTCCTTTGTGAGCTTTGTTGTCCGTATATGCTGGTTTTATCCACATACGCTCAGCTGATGCCTCTTTGTAGATGTTTTGTGTCTCTTTGTGGCAATTTTGCACCTAAATTTGGTTGTTTTATGTCCAATTTTGGTCCGTTTGCATCTCTGGGTGGTAATTTTGCGTCTCATTTTGGTTGTTTTGCATCAGTTTGTGGTGGTTTTATATCCCTTTGTGTGTATTTGTGGGGATTCTGTGTCACTTTTGCATCCAAATTGTACCACGCAGAGACAGTTTGTGTTTCTTTGGAGCAGTTTTGTGTCACTTTTTGCAATGAATTGTGGTCGACTTGTCGAGGTTTACCCAGTTCATTTGGACATTAACGCCTCATTAAACATGTCAGAGCCAAACACAACTTCCAGTAAAAACACACAGTTTTCTGAAAGAAAGTTAAACCAGGTTCTGCTGTTTATGCAACACAAGTTTTATTTTGATGGTCTCCAGTTTAACTCTTGGTTTTCCCCCCACAGCTGCTGGCCAAAGATCCCAGCGATCGGCTCGGCTGTCTGGGCGGTGGAGCCTCGGAGGTCAAAGCTCATCCCATCTTCCGCTCCATCAACTTCAAACGGCTGGAGGCCGGCATGCTGCAGCCGCCCTTCATCCCCGACGTAAGTGTTCAGACGTCCGGTCCACGAAACAGAGTTCAGGGAGGATCGTGCTTCAGACACTGAAATCGCAGATCACCCCCGAGGATGGATTTCTAATTTATATGTTAGCACGAGAAGTTGTTGTTTAAAGAGCTTTAAGGAGAAACTGAAAACATCAGTGACAGCACACCAGGTGACATCAGCAGCCACCTGAACAAACCAGCCGCCACCAAGAGACACAAGACGAACATAAAGAGACAGAAAATGACCGAAATTAGAAGCAATATTCCCACAAGAGGACAGAAAAGTATCACAACGAAACAGAAAACACTCCCAAAGAGACAAAATGACCAAAATTAGATCCACCACAGAGGCTCTAATGATGCTATTGATTCATCTTTAACAAATTTATTACCATTAATAAATGAACTGATTAAAAATATGTTCACCGATAAGGCAGCAGACAAAGTACACGCATGTCAGAAAACAGCTTGTTGGTATTGTTTAGCTATCAGTCGGCACCATGACAAAGACTTCTGTTATGATTAATGACCAGAGCTCACACAATGAAGATGAACTGAACAGTATTCCTGCAGCCAGGTCACCCTGAACATCATGTGTTCAAGGTTAAATATACTGTAAGGAATAATCTACATTAAATTCATTTTTTTTAAGATTAATTAATTATTGATTGATGGTGATTATCAGTTGGGATTCTTTCTAAACATGCATCCCTGCTGTCTACTGAAGGAACAGTCTGTACTCCCGCCGCCTAATTGCAATCCAATCCCGGGGTGTAACCGAGTCTCTTAGCATCGCGACTAGCCCGACTAATGGCATTAACGGTGGAGCAGGTGTAACCGAGAACGTCGTGACGATCAGCTGCACCTCCGTCTAATTACACCGACAGCACAAGTGTGACTAATAACATCTTCTAGTCTAACTTCCAGGTGAAAAAAAAAAACGCCTTTACATAAGCAGCTGCAAGTTTCTGAGCAGCTCAGGAAGAGGAATTAATTAATCTGATTAGTCAGAATGTCACTGAAGCTCAGGCGTCATTAAAATGCAGAATGAACCTGCAGCACCTCCACAGCAGCAGCTTTCGTGTTCTCAGCTGGAGTTCAAACCCAACAACGAGGGGTTTTCCTCACATGTGCAGCACTTCAGTTCCACTCTGGCAGAAGAAGTTTAGCTCAAGGTGTTTCCTGTCCTGCTGCTCTGACCTCAGATGTGGTCTGTTGTGTGCTGCAGCCTCAGGCCATCTAATCTAATCTAAGAGAACAAAACCAGTAGAAATGTCGACCGCCACCTGAAGCCTGAACAAACTGACCACAATTAGATGAAAGACCTGCCGCCAAGAAACACAAAAAGACAAAAAAGTAACAAAAAACGACCAAATTTAGGTGTAAAATCACCACAAAGTGACACAAAACCATCACAAAAGGACACACAAAATACCACAAAGAGACTTAAACTGACCAGATTAGATGAAAAATCACCACATTAAACTACCAAAATCAGATGCATACTTGCCAAAAAGAGACACAAACTGTCCAAAGTCAGGTGCAAACTCACCACAAAGTGACACAAAACTACCACAAAGAGATACGAAACTACGTGAAAGAGACAGAAAAATACCACAAAAAGATGCAAAACTACTACAAAGAGACACAAAACAGCTAAAATTAGATGCAAAATTGCCACAAAATGACATAAAACTAATACGAAGAGACACAAAACAACCAAAATTAACTGCAAATCGCCACAAAATTACCACGAGACACAAAACCACCACAAAATTACACAACACCACCACAAAGAGACACAAAACCACCACAAAATGACACAAAGCCACCACAAAGAGACACAAAACAACCACAAAATAACACAAAACAACAACAGAGACAAAACCACAACAAAAGTACACAAAATTAATATAAATATACACAAAACAACCAAAATTAGATGCAAACTTGCCACAAAATGACACAAAACCACCACAAAATGACTTAAAATTAATATAGAGACACAAACTCACCGTTATGAGACGCACATTCAACAGAAAGTGACACAAAATTAATGAAAAGAGACGCAAAACAACCAAAATTAGATGCAAAATTGCCACAAAATGACACAAAGCTAATACAAAGAGACACAAAACCACCAAAATTGGACCCAAAATTGTCACAGAAACACAAAACTACCACAATGAGATGCAAAATGACCAAAAGTAGATGCAATATGTCATCAAGTGATACAGAATCACCACAAATAGACAAAAAAAACTACCACAAAGAGACACAAAACAACTGAATCTAGATGTAAAATTGCCACAAAAATTACACAAAACTGCCATTATTAGATGAACAGTCACCAGATAGTAACACAAAATCTCCACAAAGAGACACAAACTGATGTAAAGCTACCAGAAACAGATGTAGAACCACCAGGAGTCGGACGACGCCGGCTTTGACGTGCGACTGTTTCCTGTGTTGCAGCCTCAGGCCATCTACTGTAAAGACGTGTTGGACATCGAGCAGTTCTCCACGGTCAAAGGCGTGGAACTGGAACCCAAAGACGAGTCCTTCTACAGCAAAGTGTCCACGGGCAGCGTCCCCATCCCCTGGCAGGACGAGGTGAGTGGAAACACACTGGTTCCCAGTTCACATCACAGCGTCTACTGGGGATCCTCCCAGTAAGTCCACGTCAACACGCTGACGTCTGTGTCGCCACAAACCGGATTCTACTGATGTTATAGAGCCTCAGAGGTTGTCAAATGTTGACCAAAGACTTTTTTCCATTTTCAAAGGCTATTAAGTCAAAATGCGTCTTCTGCTGGAGTCAGTCCACCATTTAGATCTGCTAGAAACATTATTCTGTGTGTCGTCACCAAACATCAGGGCTGGGAGAGTTTTTATTCTGGAGATACTGAACCTTAGAAATGAATGAACTCTGCCAAAATAAATGCTGCATCCGTTTTAATCAGATCACCAACAGGCGGCCTCTTCCATGAATGTGTCACACTTACAGACTTCACAAGTTGCATTTTTATACATGGTGCAGGGCCGTCTAAGGTTCAAGGGGTTAATATTGAGGTTATAGTTTGCTGTGGTGATAAACTGGACTAGAAACACTTCTGATGTTGAGCGTAACATCAGAATCACATTCCAGCTTAATGCGGTGCAGCACAGCCCTCCCACCGGCTACCACCTCAGTCATGAACAAAGCCAATAAAACTATTAAATTAACACCTCTTGCCTTTAAAGGGGGAAGATTTTTTTATACTGGATTGTATGGATGTATCTGATATAACTGCAGTTGAGTGTAATTCATGAGCCTCATCCTCTTTTGTTTGGTAGATTAATAGTAAAACTACTGAGTTGTTTATTGTGGTGGTGAATCCCCTGTCAGGTTGGTATACATTTCATCAAAAGACGGTTTTAACAGGAAAATAAAGCACAAATGAACTCTTTAAACACAGACATCATTGAACTGGCTGCAGGGTGAAGTGAGCTCATTGTGATGTGGACGTGTTCTAT